TTAAAAAGAAAAAGAAAAAGTGAAAGTGAAAGTGAATAAGGTGGACGAATAAATAAAGATCGGTGAATCATCTTTGGGAATCAATGTTCTTCCCTTGTTGTATAGTTCTAGTTGCTTATGTTATGCATTTTTCATTTGTTCAAGGCCTCGATATTAGATAGTTCTTGATTTGGGTCCACCTTTGTAGCTCATTCTTCGTGAGGATCACCATTTCCCTCCTCTGAAACCTCACCTTATCCGTTAGCCGTACACATATTACCCGAACATTGTCGTCTTGATATGCTTGTGTTTGTACTAATCGGTCCAATAGTGGTTGAAGAACAAGATTCAGGTAAGCACTAGTAATGGAAAACTATAGTGTAAATACCAACCTTTAAACACTTGTGTGATTGAGCGAAATACACATTTCTAGTGAGGAAATCAAGATGCCATGCTTTTACTCTTAACTTCCCTTACTCTTTGTTTAAATGTTTTGGCACAATCCACTATTAGTGTGTTTATTCTTTGTGTAGGGTACATCATGTGATGGAGTGTAATCTAACTTGCAAGCCTAGGTATGCATGGGAAGGTGGAATTTGACGATAGTGTATATACATAGATGTCTACACCAAAGCATAGTAGGTCCACAGCTAGTCACACCGTCACTCAAGCAATATTGTTATTAGTCGAGTCTTAGGAGTAGTGTGTCTTTTATTTGAGTCATAGGAGTCCTAGTTGTATGTTTATTTGCTTCTCTTTCAATCATTTCTCTCTTTTGCTTAGGGACAAGCAAATGTTAAGTGTGGGGTTCTGATAAGCTTCATAAACATACATGTGTTATGTGCATAAATGATTGTTTTATAAACATACATGTATTATGGCATCTAGTAGCAGTGACAATGAATTTTTTGTTTGTTTTGTAACAGGTGAAGATGGCATGAAGTAAAATGTGTGGAGATGCAGAAGAAAACAAAGTTTGATATTATGGATCTTGTTGGAGCTCAAATCTTTGCTCAATTTTGAGATTATCCCTTTGAATTCAAATTATGGATTTTGGGGTTCGAACAAGTAGGGATTGTACATTTGTCTTTCTTATTGAGCAATGTGGGTATCAGTTTTAAAGGTTTATTTGAAATAAGGATTACAGCATAAAGTAAAATATATGGTAATCATGGAATTCATTCTTGGACGTTTTAGCAACGATTATCAGGATGGTCCTTAAATCATCATTAATTCTAGTTTCCTAGGGGTATTGCGGAATGTTGGATTGCAGGGGATAGTTAACACTTAACATGGGTTCAAGAACCGTCGTCCAATCCATGAAATGGCCATCGCGGTAGTTTGCCGACCGCTGCAAGCAGTGGTTCAACGGTCTCCAAAAAACCCCAAAAAATGCAGTTCTGATAGCTGCCAAGACCGCCGCTAGATCATCCACCAACGGTTGGGCCGAGCCCTGGTGTAGATTTGCAACGTTCGGAATTGCGTCGATTATATAGGGGTTCTGAAACCGCAGCCAGACTCCTTAGCGACGATTTTGTCTGTTGTTAAAAGTTGAAAACACCCCATGTGTCATAATACCTTGAATTTATGTCATGATTGCTTCAGGTATGTTATAGCACCCTCTAGGTTTGCTTTTTATACGATTGATGCGCTTTTGGTAGCGTTTTGTGCATTGAGATCAAGTTGCTGGAGCTGAGATTCAAAGATATGCCTGAAAGAAGCGGGGCCCGAAGCACTGTTTTTATGAAGAAAAATGGCGAAAATGGCACCGTTTTGCCAAAGTCGTCCACTTCGTTAGGAAATGAGGGTAGTAGTTATACTAGATCCAAGGTATAATACTGATATAATGAATTGCTACTTTCCTGAGATTTATAGTGGGAAAAGTGAGAGGCAGATGGAGAAACTTCTAAGCATATGTGGCTAGTTGAAGACTTTGATGAGAAGGAAAGAGAGCAAGAAAAAGTAAATAATGGGATTCAAGTGAACATGCTACAAGTGAGAGGGAAGCAATAAGCAAGTTTGTTTTATATGGTTCTAGAAGGAAAAGTAAACCTACTAGGTTAGAGCTGGATTCTTACTTGAAAGATGAATTATCATTCCGAACACACCTGATTTTGATGTTTTGTATTGGTGGAAGTCAAATATATATATATATATGGTGGCGTATTCGGCGCACCCACTTTTTTGGGTGCACTCAGTGCACCCGCCTCATAATCATCATTCTGAGCATGCGATTCATGTCAAAATGGTATCAATTGTTGCTTATGATATTATGAACAAGAAGCACGTGAATTTGAAAAAAAAATCTTTTAATATTTACTTTAATTTGTAGGATTTAGGATTTAGGGGTTTAGGGTTATTGTTTAGGTTTACAGTTTGGGATTTTGCATTGGGATTCAAAATTGAAGGTTAAAGGGTTAGAGTAATAGATTGATTTGTTATGATTCTATGGCATATCATCATATTAGATTGAGAGTACTCATTAATGTTCAAAATTTGATGTATTATGGACACTTTTAGAGATGGGTGCACTGAGTGCACCCAAAAAAGTGAGTGCACCGAAGTAGCCACATATATATATGTGGTGACTACTTCGGTGCACTCACAAAAATGAGTGTGTTCAATGCACTCAACTAAAAAACTACGCTTAAGGTGTCTGATTTTGAATTTTAATTTGTAGAATTAGTGTAATAGATGATATAACATATGATAACAACTAATTAGCGGATTACCCTAAACCCTAGACCTTAAATTTTGAGTTCTATCCCTAAACCCCAAATTGTAAACCCTAACCCTAACCCTAAATCTCTAAACTCTAAATCCTTCAAATTAAAGTAAATCTTCAATGTATTTGTGAAAATTCATGTGTGTTATGGTTCATCACATCATAAGTGATGATTGACATCATTTTGACATAAATCGCATGTTTAAAATGAAGGTTATGAAGTGAGTGCACTGAATGCACCCAAAAAATTGAGTGCACCGAATACGCCACCAAATATATATATATATATATATATATATATGAGATATTTTGGTTATTCTTGTCTCTATACGGTGGCCTCGGAGTCTGTCTTTAGTACTAGTGGGAGGGTGATTTCTTCTCATCAAAGTAGGCTACATCCAGATACTGCACAAGGCTTGTTGTTTGCTCAAAATTGGTTGTGTGCTAGTTCCCAAGGTTATCCTATCCTAATTCCAAATGTTTATTTTTTTCGCATATACATAAAAATCATGAGTGTTTCTAACTTGTTTATATTAGAAATAGTTAGTTCTAGTGTAGAAAAGGGCTCACTTGGTACCATACAACAAGATTATAATGGAGACAGACGACACTAACCATTTTAATGGTTTATGTCTACATACAGTTGCAAGTAACCTGTACTCAAAGTTATAAGAGAGGAGACAATGTTCTAGAGGCTAGAGAAGGCTTGTAAGTATGAGTGAGGCTGCTGCATGGAGTATTGTTGTGGTTCAGAATTTGGTTTTTATATTTTATTTTATAAATTCTAGAACTTTATTGCTTGATTTTAACATTTGAGCGGTTTAGAATTTGGCTTCAGTTTATAAGTTTATTTGAAGAACTTTTGTTTGAATGATCATATGGTTACACCTTTACAATCCGTGTTACCAAACATATATAGGTCAAAGCAAGTATTACCCACCCTGGCCGGGGTAAAGAATGGTCAGAAAATGGCTACCCGTCCCGTGGCACGGGTCAGGATGGATTATTGGCCTATGGGCCGGGGTAGAGCACAAATTCACTAATGTAAGCCTCAAACTTGCCTCTTTACCATTCCTACTAATAAATGTTTATTATTCATATCCAATTTGTTCTTGGATGTTATAGTGACTACCACTATAAGGTGGGCACAATAACTTGTCCCATGATTGACAAGTTGAGCTCGAGTCAAACACTAGTAAAGTTTTCAACAAATAAATCAAGTCTGAGTAAAACAACAATCATGTTTTCAGTAAACGAACCGAATTTGTTTATTAATAATAAGTAGAGTCCAATATAAATCAAAACTCAATTTGTCTTGGCTCATTTGCAGCCTAGAGCACACCAGGTCCCGACAATTGGATCTCTCTAGCCGTGTGTTGAATGCTATAAAAAAAGGCAACATACACTTTCATAGTCACAACTTTCACATTTTTAATCCATGTGAATTATCCAAAACTTTCGAAATATCCAAAATAACGACTTTCGTCCAACCCTTTAATGGTGTCACTTAATAATATGACTAGACCGGCGAAAATGTTGAGTTGACGATATTTCGTCCCCAGCAATCCATGTGACTTAACAAAAAAAAAAAAACCAAAATACACTTCCATAGCCACAACTTTCACGTTTGTGACGGTTATAGCAGTCGCTTCTGTCTATCTTTTTAACGGTGTCACTTAACAATATAATTGTAGAAGAGAGCCTTATTACCCAAAGCGCTGATTCAGATCCCCAATCACTAGACTGGAGAAGAAGGTCTTGGAAGCTTGATGTTTCACTATGGAAACTCGATAATTTTATTTTATTTTGGTAGAAAAAACTCAATAATTTTAGGTGTCAACACTTGGTGGAGTCGCAGAAAAATGACGAGAAAGATGACAAGAAGACTGTTGGGATGGGAAGAAGCTCGACAGTGGCCGCAAATAAGAAGCCCGATTCGTCACAATCAATTGGCGCAATTCGTCGCCATTCCTCTGAAACACAATCCTCAGAAGAAATCGAGGACATGGTCGCGACTGCTTTGCGTATTTCAAAAGTTTGCAATGAAAATAGTTGGATTTGTCAAACAACCATGAAAATAGTTGGTCATTTCTTATGTTTCGAAACTTTTTGGTTATAACTATAATAAACGTGAAAGTTTAGTGATGGAAGTGTATTTTGCCAAAAACAAAATCGAAGTGTTTAGTGTAGGCTGCCAAGAAATAGTGGAACCATTTAGTAATTTGGCGTACGGCTTTATTTGGATTTTGGAGTCATAAACCGACTTATCGCAGGACGCCGAGCCCGACCCGATTGACACACCGATACCAGATCAGATTGCGTCTTGGCTTTATAAACCCTGGCTTTCCTTGTCCACCTCCAATCGAAACTGGCTGCTGCTAGCTAGGGTTTCACATTTCATAGCTCAGATTCTCAGCTTGTAGTCATCGTTGCTATGGATTTCTCTAAGAAACGGAAAGTCGAGGAATTCGATGTTCCATCCTCGCCGGGAAATGTCGTCGCGAACGCCACTGCCGCAGCCTCTAGCTTAACCCTAGAAGACATCAGGAAAATCATCGAGCCTTTCACCAAGGACCAGCTCCTCGACATCCTCCAACAGGCCGCCGTTCACCACTCCGACGTCCTCGATGCCATCCGTTCCGTGGCCGACAGTGACGTCACTCTTCGCAAGCTCTTCATCAGGGGCCTCTCTGCGGAGACCACATCCGAGACCCTCCGCACCCTCTTCTCCACCTACGGCGAGCTCGAGGAGGCTATTGTCATCTTGGACAAGAACACTGGTAAATCTAAGGGTTACGGATTCATTACTTTCAAGCACATCGATGGTGCTCGGATGGCGTTGAAAGACCCCAGCAAGAAGATTGATGGGAGAATGACGGTCACGCAGCTGGCCTCTGCTGGGCAATCCAACTCCGGAGGTGGTGTCGATGTTTCTTTGAGGAAGATCTATGTAGGTAATGTGCCTTACGATATACCTTCAGAAAAGTTGTTAGCGTTCTTCTCAATGTATGGAGAGATTGAGGAGGGGCCTTTAGGGTTTGATAAGTCATCTGGGAAGACCAAGGGGTTTGCTTTTATGATATATAAGACCGAGGAAGGTGCTCGGGCTGCGATTGCTGAACCAACCAAGAACATTAATGGTTTCCAAGTTATTTGCAAACTGGCTGCTGATAATAAGAAAGGTAAACCTCATGGAGCAGACAATTCACAGATGCAACCAAACCTACAGCAGCCCTCGATGCAACAACTACAACAACCGCCTTATGGCTCTGGCACGATGCCACCATATGGAGGTTATTCTGGTGGAGGGAACAGCAATAACTATGGGATGAATTCGTCTATGCCAGGAGCAATGGGTAATGGTGGCTATGGTGGTCAATATGGAGTTTCCCAATACGGGGGACCTGCTGTGGGTGAGTATGGAATGAATACTGCAGGGGGCTCTATGTTCAGACCTCCTCCAAGCTCTGCTGGTATGGGTTCTGCTGGTTATCCAGATAGCGGGCCTTATGGTATGACTCAGCCACACCAGCCGCCATCAATGCCGCCTAGACTTCCACCAGGGGGGATGTATCCTGGTGGCCCACCTTACTACTGAGGTAATTGTCTGTTTTTGTTGGGTTTGCTGGTTGTTATCTTTATTGCCCTGGTATTTTGTTGCAACCATGCTATCAAGGATGACTTATTCTGTATTATTTGTGTATTTCTACCACCAGTTCTGTTATCGAGTCTAGGTGTTGAGTTTACACCTCTTGATTGGTAGGTTCAACCTGTTAGGTATTTTCCAAATCGGCAGGCCGACATGAATTCATCCCTAATGACTATGGCCATTCCATTCTTTTGTTGGAAATAGTATGATTTAAGTGCTTGGTCTCTTTAAATCTAAGGTCTTTGGTATATATTATTGGCTGAATAGTTGAGGTCTTTGTTCTAGCTGTCTGCTATCTACTTTCACTGTCTTTTTCAATGGTTGGTAAACTTCTTTGATGTTTGACTTGTTTTATGTTCTGATAGGTTTTTGGTTCAGGTGTGTGACAGCTTCTTGGGCACAATGCTTTAAATGGTTGTCGTGATATCTCATGAATGCAGACACTGAAATCTTTGGTTTGTTGTTGTGGACTGCTCTGTGCTCTTTTGTTGCTGCTTCACTCCATCCCGTTCCATGATCTAGATCTGTACTTCATGAGAAGAACTATAGAAGTTCCTTGTTGCTGTGCTGGAATATATGTTCTGATAGATCTAGTTTATGAAGAGGCCCTCTGTTTTTCTTTTCCGCCTTGGCTGTTATTTGGTACTTGACACTGTCATTGTGGCTAGAACGTTATGTGATTGAGGAATCTAAATTTTCGTTAGTGGAGAATTGTTGGCTATATGTTTTTTTTTTATATTTTTGAAATTTTGTATTGCTTTATTTGTTTGATATCATAACAATTGCTCTGTTTAGGCCATTCGCTTGTTATGGTCAAATTGATGGTCTGATGTGTTACGCTATTATGAGTTTCCACGTCTGTTTCCAAGTCTGACTTTGTGGTAGCTGTTTTTCTGTGATCTAAGTTTGATAAATCATATAAATCAGATTTAGTTTTATGTCATTGGATTTGGTTGGAGTTCAGCTTTGACTACTGATTGTCGATCGCAATGTTCTACTTTTATGTAAGCTGTATTCTGCAAAAATTCCTTGTTGCGGCTATACTTTTGGTCATGTCTCATTTTGACCTTAAGAGTTAAGACTGTAGTTTCATTTAGAGCTATCCAGCTGCTATGGTTAAAACTGATGATTGTTTTACCTTGAGTTTATCTCAATCCCCTCTTCTTATCATCAAATCTTATGATGGTGGTTACTCTTCTGATCCAGGTAGACAAATTGCATCAACCTGATTTAGATGAACTTTTTGTTGCATTTAGGTGGGAGTTTGAGTTCCGCTTCTTAGAATACCCAATTTATGTTACAGAAGCTTTAAGATATATATATATTTTGGTGGTGTGGCTATCTGAAATTGATGTCCATTATTTGATTAACTGATGAGTGAAGGCTGCCTGCCTCTTGACTAACTGGGTTTCCAAGTAATTTGTTGGACTAGAACACACTTTCCTAGGTTGTAGTTTGTAGTATTTGTTGTTGCCAGTTTTTCCTGTAGGTGGTTGATTTGAATCCTGGAATGGGGTGTAGTAGCTGAGTGCAACGAGTGATTTGATTGTTGATTCTTGGTGTGTATAAGTTCTGCTTCAGTGTATAAAGTCTGTTTAGGGTGCCGCATAGCAAGACTGGGTTTAGTGGTGGGAGAACTCTAACTAGCTAACTGTTGTGGCGGTTTGTTTTGTTGTTCTGACCTGACCACCACTGCTGGGGAGACACGGGAATGTGCCCTATTGACATGCGAGGTTCCCTTCCTTGGGTAAGAGGTGCTGCTGCGGTTGGAAGGTGGTTGCTCATTCTTATACTAGTATAGTGCCACTACTACTACTGCGAGCCACTGGTCATCTCTACTGATCATCGGCGGAGGGGCTTTGTCGTGTTTAATCGCAGCTGTGTAATTGTAAATTTTCTATTCATTTGGACTCTACCACTGTATAATTGTAATATAATCTCGTTGTAGGTCTTAAAAAATGGTACGAGTTGTTTCGCTGCATGACTAAGGTAGAGCTTACTCCGACATGCGAGACCGAGAGATCACATTTGCAGTACGAGTGTCTTATTGCCGTTAAACTGCTCCCTAAAGGAACTGGTCTGGTTTAGTGGCTTATAGTAAGCTGATGGTTTCCTTATTTGGCAAAACGGCACAAGTATTCTGCCTTGTTGTCCAACCACTGCAAGTTGTCGCTGTGCGTGCATTCATGGAGATTTGGCTTGCATGCGAAAGCACGTTTTCGTCCGTACTAGCTCGAGTTTCTTTACGTGTTTGATGCTTCAAACCTCCTTATCCTGGTACGTACGTAGAGGTCTTGACATCAAAATTGGGTTGAAGAAAATTTGTAAACATAAACTTGCCAAATAGATAAATAACGCAGATCAATCCTCGCCAAAACCAACTCATGACCAACATAACCAAAAAGTTCATACACGGTGGGATTTGCTCTAATCAAAGTTGGAACCTTTCCCACGGTTCCTCCCACAAAACCAACTAACTAACTAATCCTAAGCATTCAAGATTCCTCCCCGCCGTGCAACCAAATCGCGTTTCGTGTTCCTCCTTTCCAAGTCTTCCTCTATAGCTTTCTTGGATGTAACATGCGTTCTTGGCCAATTTTCAATCAGTTTAATTATTAAGATATGACAGTATTGGTTATGATATTAATAGACAGGGTAATTCCAATCTGATCTATGTGATTCAATATGTTTGACTCTTGGGTATTATTTATTTCATGAGGGCTCGGTTCTTACTTTCGTCTCGTCTTGCTCAATTCATAACATGTTTATTTCATTTTTTAACGTTCTCATAAGTCATATCATTATATCATTATTCTTCCTTGGTAAAATAACATAGTTACTTAATCCAAGCCTTTAGTTTTCCGATAAATTCTCAATCTTATTAATTTAGAAAGAGAGAATTTCCATATAATATCTAATGTATATTAGAGAAAAGTTCTGAAAAAATCTTAGCATCCACTTTTAAATTTGAATCTCATTTCGTTTAGTATTTATTATTTGTACCGCTAGATATCTTACTTTGTTTTGATTCATTCAAAATCTAGTTTTATTAGCAAATTTATAATAAATTTCTTAATCTTACCATGAAAATTTAAGTATTATATATCACTTTTGCTCATTTTTACGAAGTAAAGAAATGCGTACAATTATTCGATTTTGGCCCCCAGTGCAAAAATTCTGGCTTCCCCCCTGCATGGAATTTCAAGCAATCATTCCCACAATTAAGCTTAACCGTTAACCTTGAGTGCTTGACCGTTAACCTTTCTCTCTCTTTCTCTCTGACAGTCTGTTAATACGAATATCCCTTTCTGAAAGAAGAGTAGATTACAAATCATGTCCAAGAAGCTAAAGAAAACCTCTCCTCCTCCTGGTGACCATTTTCATGGGTTTGCGGTTTCCCTAACTTCCCTCTCTCCCAAACAATGACTTGCACTACAAGACAATCAATCTCCCCCCTCCCTCCTCCCGCTCCCGCCGGCACCGGCGACACACCTATTTATAACCTCCATTCCCTCCCCCTTACAAAATCGTTAAAACTATCCAAAATCGATCAAATCCTTAGCCCATCAGGAAAAAAATTAATAAGAAAAAAAAAACAAAGCACAACCTCAACAAATTGGAAATGAATCAAGAAGGAAATGTCGCCGCCTCGTCCGCTCCCCAGATCGTGTTCTTCGACCTCGAAACCAACGTGCCCAGCCGGTGTGGCAGTGGCGGCGGCCGGTTCCACGTGCTGGAGTTCGGGGCGATCGTGGTGTGCCCGAGGAAGCTGGTGGAGCTGGAGAGCTACGCGACGCTAATCAGGCCGTCGGATCTGTCGGCGGCTTCGGTGCGGTCCAGCCGGCCGGAGGGGATAACGAGGGCAGCGGTGGCTGGAGCGCCGACGTTCGAGCAAGTGGCGGATAGGATTTACGCGATGCTAAACGGGAGGATATGGGCCGGCCACAACATCCAGAGGTTCGATATGGTACGGATCAAGGAGGCCTTCGCCGAGATCGGCCGGCCGGCGCCGCTGCCCGTCGGGAGCATTGACTCGCTGGGGGTGTTGACGCAGCGGTTTGGGCGACGCGCCGGCAACATGAAGGTTTGTTTGTTTTTTAATAAAACGAAATGGGCTTTTATTTTTGGGTTCGAGCCCACGGGCTACAGTTTGAGTTAGTTGAATTGTTTGAGTTGGGGCCAAATTGTGGCCCGGCTAACTAATTTTCCAAGTCCAATTTGTCCATATGGGCAATTTCTTCATAAAAGTTTTGTAGGTTAAGCAAAAGTTGTCTTGGAAACCTAAAGAATAAATATTTGTTAGGGTTGTATTTTAAATGTAAGGTATTTGAAATACTAACATTTGAAATGGATGTATTTGAAATATTAGCATTTGAAATACATGTAATTCAAATTCATTGTTTGGATACTCATTTGTAATTTTTTTAATTTTTAATTTTACAATTTTCAATTTGAGTTTTTAAATTTGTGGTCACTTACTACAAATTTTGGTAAATTACATTTTGGTACCCAAATTTATTTTTTCTTACAATTTAGTACCTAAAGTTTTAAAATTTTACAATAAGGTCCTGAAATTTTGATGGTAAAATTACATTTTGCTACGTTTATATGTTTTGCCTCACACTATAGTACCTAAACTTTTCATATTTTACAAATAGGTCCATTCTTTTGTTAGGAGGTATTTCAAATCACTAGTTATTGAAATGTATTTGAAGTTGACAAAAAATACACTAGACATGTATTTGGAAATCACCCCATGAATTTGACACAAATCCAAATACTAAATGTAATTAATATCCAAACACATGATTTGGTATTTAGAAATCCAAATTACAAATACCAAATCCAAATCATTGTATCCAAACGCACCCTTATAGAGTTTGTTTCCCATGAATCTTTCTCTAAAACGTCATGCTTGACTCCAGAGTTATAGAATTTGTTGCTATAATGTTGATTTGATTGCACCCATCATTCATGAATTACTATATTAGTGACAACCAATGAAAAAGTTGATTTAAATGTGGATTTAAAATAACATTGAAAAAATTTCAACATTCAATTGTTAGATGCATTTCATCGGATCGTCAACATTCATATCATAGATAAAATATATTCCTATAATAATTTATAATTTGGTTGTAACAAGATGCTATGTAGAGTAATCTCAAGAGTGTGAGCTTCTTGTTTAGCTTTCCTCCCCTCTTATTCAGTAGTACATGTAATTGTAATCTTGCTAAAAAAAATGTTTTCTAATGAGAATTTGATGTGAATCCAGATGGCTACCTTGGCGGAGTACTTTGGACTTGGTCAACAAAAACACAGGTAATTGACACATTACATTTGTATAACCAAAATTCTATTCACATATGAGTTTAATTTTATATGAATTATTTTTAATCAATTTACTAATTTGTTACGTTGCTCAAACTGCACGCATCCAATAATAAAATATTTCAGAAGTCTCGACGATGTCAGAATGAATCTGGAGGTCCTCAAACATTGTGCAACAGTCCTGTTCTTGGTAAGACACTTCATGTCAATTACAATTTGATAGGACAGGAAAAGCTATATAATTTTGATCATTAAGAATAAAGATTAACCCTAGCCTAATTACATGACTAATTACTTCACTAACTAACTACATGTAGGAATCAAGCCTGCCAAGCGTGTTGAGCCATGGCGCCCATCGAGAATGGCCAGTGGGATCTTCCACAGTTGTAACTCGAAGTAGAAGCAGCCAGCTGATAAATGAGAGATTCCACAATAGCAGTAATTGTAGTAATAATGTTCTAACAGTGCCCACGCCCAGAAAATCACCTCCATCTGCTACCTCTAGTAGTCTCACTTACCAAAGGCCACTTCCCTATGCCAGGGGAAGCTTTGGAAAGGTAAATTAGTTACGTAATTTACTTCATTATAATCAAACTGAATTATTGGAATAAATTTTCATTTTACTAATTAAGTGTACATAAATCATATAAGTACTTGCAGGTGACAGAAGGGGTGAAGAATTTGTTGTGTAGAGCCCAAGAAACAAGGTCTATCACCAGACTCCTCAGACATTCTCAATCTTTGTTCAGATGATATGCAACAGTTCGACCAAGATACTCATTTAGTGATTTAGTATTGAATTGTTCACCAATATTTCTCTACATTTGCCTGCGGAGAGATATTGTATTAACGTGGCCACTAACCAGTAATTGGAAACTAAAATGTATAATTAGTCGATTCGTTCATTCTTATGTATATTGTAACTTTATGGAGGATGTACATTTGTATAAAATCTTTAGGAGGAGCCTCTTGTGTACATTGTATCAAATATACAAATTACATGTCCCCCATCCTAAGTTCTTGGAATCCTGATTGTAAATGTTACGGAATAACAAATGGAAATTAGTGTATCAATGTTGCAAAATATTAATTAGTTGTATATGTTCTGTGAAAGTGAAAGTCTGGAGAAGCTTATAAGAAGGATGGACGATTAAAAAGTTGTTTACTTATTTTGCTGTCATCCTTCAGTCGGACTATGACTCACATTTCCGGCAAATAAGCTTACTTTTTTGGAAAATCAAAAGTTAATAAAACAAATCTCCCGCTACCCCTTTCTTTTAAATTTAACAAGATCAATATTATCATATTTTGAACAAGAACTTTATGATATTTTAGTCACTCCTATTAATAGACTTAGAATTTGTTCAGTCGTTTTCTTTAATCCAAGTTTCGTTCTTTTCAGTTTTCACTTGTTTATTTATCTTCGTAATGCTTAAAATTTGTATAATAATTGGGGAGCTTAAAAGAGCGCAAAAGCACCATAGTTCTGATTGAGGAAGAGAACGTCTTTCTAGAGGTGAGTGTTGATGATGCAAGTAACTATGATCCAAGAATCAGAGCTCATGAATATGCTGTTATTGAATTGCGATTATAGGAAACAAATCAATCTAACTTTTTTTTTGGTTGATAACATAATTTTCCCTTCTATTATTACATTTTCTCAAACTTACCCCTCTATTATATTCACGTCAAAGTTGCCTATCTACTATAATAAATTCTCAAACCTACCTTATGCTAAAATTTCCATCCAAAAACCATTAAATTCGTCAAACCAGTGATTAACCGTTTGGCATGACCAAACTACTCTTTGTATTTTTATTTTTATAAGAAAAAATAACAATAAAAATTTAAAAATGAAAGAAACCCCCTCTCGCCGTCGGCACGCCGACTAAAACCGTCAAAAGCATCCATATAATAATCTCAACTCCATCAATTACCATTGAGTT